TCGCCAAGGACGGAAATGTCTTTGTCACTCATCGCTCAATTACCATCGTGTCAGTGTAACATCCATTGCTAGGTAAATCAAGAAATCGCTTTGAGAACATTTAAAGAAGGAGATAGCGTGGAATAAACCTCCTTCAAAACATAGTTTTAAACAGGCAAATCAACAGCAACAATTATAACAGTCTATGAAATAATCGACGCATTAGCCTCGTTGATTTTACTATTTCATTAAGGTATTTGATAAGGTCCCATTTCGCACTCCTACACAAGTTATCGATAGTTGAGATAAATCCATGCATTTTGATCAAGAATTTCCTCGTGTTATTCTTATTTGTAGTTCGTGTTATAAATCGACTTTCTTATAAGAAACAAAGGTTGGGTGACGTCTCTTAAGTGCTTGTCAACATCCATATTTCCCAGTCGGGCATCATGTTGCGCTTTTACCTTGATTGTGAAATCTATAGAAAAATCCGAATACATTGGACATTTGCATATATAGTCCAAGGCTGAGGCTAATCCTTCTGAGCAGAAAAAGAGGAAGGTATGGCATATAGAGCCGAGACTTTCGAATCGTCCTTATAACACTCGTGTCAGAGTTCTGGAAATCAATCGAAGTGGGATTCTCGTAAATAAGCAGTTATTTTACGACAAACATTGCGAAAACTCACTGCCAAAGGAACCGGTGCTGCACACAAATTATGAGCAATGTCTAGAGAAATTCTCTCGTCTAAGTGAGAGCCCATAAAGTTCAACCTCTGTTGAATTCACTAATATACAAAACACATCTTCCGGCTTCCTTCAAACAGATGTTTGATGGTCCCACGCTAGAAAGAAAGCGGTGCGCCACGACGATTTGAGCGCGGCTGGTCGCTTCATTCTCCCTTCCCTCTTCTTTACCTTTTCATGTTTTATAGTAAATAAACATATATAATTACACCCTTATGAGAGTATACGAAGTCCGCTACACACTTAGGCGGATTTGATCAGTCTAATCCTGACAACACGATAAAACTACATCCCGAGATATGGTGCAAAATTTGCCCATGCCTGTCAAAGCGGCGAGTGAAATATGCAGTAGGATGGCGGGCTTAGAGTCTTATTTCTTTGTAGGAAATGTCAAGAAAGAGCTCTAGATTAGTGACCGAAATAAATAAGATAATGTAAGAC